AAGAAGTGCAGCATGACTGGACCCTGTCCGGAGCACAAGGCTAGCAAGCCGTTCGCACCGACAAAGTTTACTGCAGGAGGCTTTCCAGGCCCAAAATGGGCTGGATGTGTGTGAAGCGCATGTGCAGGGCACACACATGCACAATGCAGGGGCGCATGTGCAATGCGGGGGGAGGCGTGCATATGCACAATGCAGGGCACATGCGCAGGAGTGGCGGCATGTGCGCGTGTGCAGGTGGGGGATTTGCATTGCATTTTGGGTGCTGGCATGCACGGATGCTGTTGCATGTGCGTGCACACACTTTTGGCACACAACAAGAAAAAGGTTCGCCATCACTGTTCTAGGAAAACAGTTATTCAATGCCTCTAAAAATAATCCAGGAAGAGATCAGTCATAAAGGGAAACAAGAAAGTATGTAATTTTTTTTCAAGGGAGCAAGAGGGAAGCTAAGAATCGTGAAAGTGGAAGAGCAGCAAATACAGAAAGAGTTACAACTGAATATCAAGTTGCAAAAAAATAACAAATTGCAAAATTGCAATTGCAAATATTTACCATGTTACTATGCAGTACTTCTGTTTCATGCACATTTAAATTTATGAGCAGTACACATCTATATTTCTTCCATAATCTAACCCTATAAAGTGGGGTTAAGGAATACAGATTGAAATTTATCTAGGGAATTTGAGGAATGAGGATGGACTAGAAACTAGATCTCTCTGTTATCCAGTACCTTAACCTTAAGTGCCCAATACCTTAACCACTATGGAATGTGGCCTGGATGGAAAAAAAGGACCAGGTAGCCAATACTTGGAGAAAATAACCCATAGAAAAATGAAAATGAGAAACTCCCATAGTTAATAACCTCTGCCCATTTAGGGAAGGGGAGGAGGAGGGGGAAATTAGCATTGGTGTGTGTGTGTGTGTGTGTGAGAGAGAGAGAGAGAGAGAGAGAGAGAGAGAGAGGAGGGAGGGGGAGAGGGAGGGAGGGAGGGAGGGAGGGAGAGAGAGAGAGAATGCTGTAAAAGAGCATAATGATTAGCCAGGTCCTAAGGGAAAATGTATAGTTCTTAGCTCTTTGAACTTTTAAATGTTTGCAGAGTGAATAGCTCATGACATAGGCAGAAAAGCATAAAAATGTGAATGGGGGTCGACTTAGGACATGATATTTCTCTGCTTTCTATTTTATCTCTTAAACTGGATATCATTAATTAGATGTTAATCTTGTTTTGATTTGTGTATGTTTTAAATTGTTAAAGTAGAGTCATGTTGAGATTTATGGGAGCTAGCAACTGACTGGCCCCAAATAAATGAGATTTATTGCATGATGTGTGTAAGATGCTAAAAAGGAGCTGTTGAAGTGTGGAAGGTTACAAATATACTTTGCAGCTATGCATCTTTGTATATAGATTGTTATAGTATTATTATCTACAGGCTATTAATGCTTCTACTGTATGATCATAACAGGAGAAATGCCCTGAATAATACAGCAGCTAAAAGATATCATCTGTGCATCAAAGCCATTAATATAGGGGTGTCAACTTGAATTCATTGAGGGCTGCATCAGGGTTGTGTTTCACCTGGGGGGGGCATGATGGGCATGGCCAGGTTGGACATGGCCATCTCAATATTAGTCATGTCAGGGGAATCTGTGGTAGCCCGGGCAGGGCTGGGGGAATCCATTGTCTCCAGAAGAGGAAGGCGAGACCAAGGAGAAAGCCAAACCCTTGACCTCCAGAGGAGCCTCGCCGTCTCTCTCAGGCCATGGAGAGGATCCCTGGATGGTGGTACAGGCTGTCTAGAGCCCTAGGCAGTGGAGGGCAAGTGCTCATCCCATCCCTCAAGCTCCTAGGGCACCAGGACGACACAGCTCAGCACAGGCCCATTTCCCCGATGAAGTGCTCAGTTACATTTACGTCTTCCTTGAGGCAGCTGCTGCTCTGCTCACTCTCCTTGGCCAGGTTACTCATGGTGTATGCGGAAGGGCAAAGTGTGTGGGTCAGAGGGAGGCCCACAGCCTCTCCAGGCAAGGACACCCAGCTTTGTAACCAAAGCATCCTCAGTGATAGGATGGGAGACTACCAGAAGAGATCAGGAAGAGGAGACAAGAGTATGGCGCAAGGGCAGCAGGGCTGCTGGTGGCCAAGTGCTAAGGCAGGACTTTCCTCAGACCCTGCCTCCCTCTCATTATAATCTCCTTCCTTCCTTCCTTCCTTCCTTCCTTCCTTCCTTCCTTCCTTCCTTCCTTCCTTCCTTCCTTTTCTTCTTTTTCTTTCCCTCTTCATTTTCCTTTCTTTCTTCTTCCTTCCCCTCTTTTCTTCTTTTTCCTTCCTTGCTCTCTTGCCATTTTTCCTTCTTTTTCTTTGTGTTTCCTCTTTCCCTTTCTCTTTTCCTGTCCCTTCTTGGATGCTCAAATGCAAAAGGGGAAACATTTCTCAATGCCTCCTTGCCTTGTGATCAAATGCCACTTTTGCTAGTAGTTTGTTTTGCTAGCACTCTGCCAGCAAAAATGGAGCTCAGGGGGAGCACACGCCCCTCCCAAGCTCCATTTTCAGCTGCAATGGCCTCCTCCAGCACTCTGGCAACAAAAATAGAGCTCAGGAGGGGAGCACACAGCCCTCCTGAGCTCCATTTTCGGCTGTGACAGCCTCCTCCAGTACTCTGGCAACTAAAACACAGTTTGGGAGGGGCGAGGGCAGCCCTCCCGTGCTCCGTTTTCAGCTGCGATGGCCTCATGCAGTACTCTGGCAGCAAAAACAGAGCTCAGGAGGGATGGATGCAGCCCTCCCAAGCTCCGTTTTCAGCTGTGATGGCCTCCTCCAGGACTCTGCCAACAAAAATGGCTGTCACCAGGTTGTAGATCAGGGCCCAGTCAGCCTGGACTGAGCCGAGGTACTGCTGGCCAGTCCTTCGCTGTTTCCAGATCTAAGCACCCTGTGGCAAGATCCAGCCCATGGGCCTTGAGTGTGACACCCCTGCATTAATACATAAATTGCTATAATGACCATCTTTTCTGTACTTTTGAAGGGAAAAAAGGAAAAAAAAGTTTATAGTACTTTTCCCCCCTTGCATTGATTTGCACTGTTCCTTTCAATCTGGTGCCTTAGCATAAACCCAACTGATCTGGAGCCAGTAACACCCTCATGACCCTAGAAAAGAGGCAATGACAACAATTTCTGAAAACTTCCAAGAAAAGTCCAGGAGTCCAGGCAATCACTAGGAGTCAAAAATTGACTCAGAGGCACTAAAACAAATAAATGTATCACAAACTTTCTTTCTTGCAACACAGTGGACATTGGTAACTTTCATGGAGTGGCTGTGTGTGAAAAAGTAAGGCTCTACATTTAGGCAAGAAAAATAAAATGCACAGGTACAGTATATGTGGTACCTTTCTCATTAGTAGTAACTGTGAGTGGGATCTTGGAGTCCTAGTGGACAATCACTTAAATATGAGCCAGCAGTGTGCTGCAGCTGCCAAAAAAGCCAACACAGTTCCAAGATGTATAAACACAGGGATAGAATCAAGATCACATGAAGTGTTAATATCTCTTTATAATGCCTTGATAAGGCCATACTTGGAATATTGCATCCAGTTTTGGTCACCACAATGTAAAAAAGATGTTGAGACTCTGGAAAGAGTGCAGAGAAGAGCAATAAAGATGATTAGGGGACTGGAGGCTAAAATATATAAAGAATGGTTTCTGGAACTGGGTATGTCTAGTGTGATGAAAAGAAGGACTAGGATGAGGATAGCAGTGTTCCAATATCTCAGGGACTGCCACAAAGAAAAAGGAGTCAAGCTATTCTCCAAAGCACCTGAGGGTAGGACAAGAAGCAATGGGTGGAAACTAATCAAAGAGAAAAGCAACTTAAAACTAAGGAGAAATTTCCTGACAGTTAGAACAATTAATCAGCAGAACAACTTGCCTCCAGAGGTTGTAAATGCTCCAACACTGAAAGTTTTTAAGAAGAGACTTCATTTGTCTGAAGTGGTGTAGGATGTCCTGCCTAATCAGGGGGTTGGATTAGAAGACCTTCAAGGTCCCTTCCAACTCTGTTGTTCTATTCTATTCTAAGAGGAATAAAAAAAAAGGGGGGGGGAGAAAAAATTGAGAAGTTTAAAAAAGAAGAATGTGTTTAGCTCAAGAACAAATACATTATCATCTCACTGCTGAAAAGAAACTGAGGAATTTCAACAGCAGCCCAACCAATTCTGTAATCTTGTAAAGCCATCCGTGTGAATCATGAGGAAGATTACATATCAAGTATACTTATGGAAATGTTTTCTGCTTATCATGAGATATGCTGTGAAGATAGTATACTTGGACTTAGATCTAACCTAGAACTAAGAAGAGATTTCCTGACAGTTAGAACAATTAATCAATGAAATCTCTAGCCTTCAGATGTTGTGAGTATTCCATCACTGGAGAATTTCAAAAAGAGACTGAGCAGTCATTAGTCTGGAATAGTATAGGATTTCCTGCTTGGGCAGGGGGTTGGACTAGAAAACCTCCAAGCTCCTCTCAAACTGTGAAAAGAAATGCAATTACCCTTGACTTTTAGTTTTATCAGTACTTGGTATACATTTTCAAGCCTAACTTTATAACTGTAGAATAGGAAAACTTTCATTTTTTAATTACAAATCAGATTTTACAACCTTCACAAAAAATTATTGGATTTTTTTCACACTTGTATTACTGTGTTTCCCTGAAAATAAGACCCTGTCTTATATTTTTTTTGAACCCTGAAATAAGCGCTTGGCCTTATTGGCATGCGCTCAAAAGTCCGATTGGGCTTATTATCAGGAGATGTCTTCTTTTGGGGGAAACAGGGTAAATTGCAAGACTACACAGAGAAGAAAAACTGGCAATGAATTATAGAACACAACAATTCAGCAAGTCCAGATTTAAAGATGAAAACTATTGATACCACTGAATCATAGTTATAAGCAAAAAAACAGCAGTAGCTAATGATCACAATCAAGAAGCCAGCGTAAAACTTACAGGGATTGCATTATTCTTCACTGTCACACTGGGAGTTGTTGCACGCAGTGCCCCACTCACTCCATGATAATATTTGAAGCAGATCTTTGTTTCAGCTAAAAGAAAAAGTAATAACTTTGAATTATATCTGTTGAGCAGACTCAATCATAGTACAAGAAAATACATTTTGAGTACATAACTCATGCACTCAAATAATTCTTCAAATTAAATAAAATTTAATGAATCTAATTAAAAAGTTATTTTTTAAAAACAATCTAATTACAGGTAGTCCTTGATGTATGACCACAATTGAGCCCAAACTTTCTGTTGCTAAGTGAGTCAGTTGTTAAGTGAAATTTGCCCCATTTTATGACATTTCTTGCCACAGTTGTTAAGAGAATCACTTCAATTGTTAAGTTAGCAACAGGGTTGTTAAGTGAATCTAGCTATCCTATTGACTTTGCTTGTCAGAAGGTTGCAAAAGGTGATCACATGACCCTGGAATACTGCAATCATAAATATGAACTAGTTGCCCAGCATCAAAATTTTGATCACATGACCATGGGAACACTGCAATGGTCGTAAATGTGAACAAGTCAAAAGTCACTTTTTCAGTGCTGTTGTAACTTTGAACAGTCACTAAATAAACTGTTGTAAGTCAAGGACTTTTGTCTTTTGATACGTAGGCTAATTTGAGATGGTATATAAATGGGGATCAGGGAGTTAGAGGTAATTAGATGAAAATATAGTAAATATGAAAAATTAGGAAATTATTTCTGAAAAAATGGGACTGACTCCATATTTGTTACTTTTCTTCAGTACAATATAAGTTATGCTGACCATTGCATAATTTTGATAGTTATGATCGCTGCAGTATCTCCATAGTCATGTGATAGAAGTTCAGACATATGGCAACTGACTCATATTTATGATGGATAGCCTTTGAAAAAGGCACATGTGATTCATACTAACTGATAGAAAATTGTTCAGAGTTCTGCAATAAGTTCAATGGTGTTTTATAACACCAGGTTTTGTTTTTCAGCATCATTTCCCTTATTTTTCTTCTCAAATTTGCCACATTAGCTTGCTCGCAAGGCAGTTTAATAACACTTTCTGTTGCTAAGTGAAACATTTGTTAAATGAATTTTGCCCCGTTTTATAACTTTTCTTGCCACAGTTGTTAAATGAATCACTACAGTTAGTAGTGATTGGTTAGTAACAAAAGGTGATCATATGATTCCAGGATACTGCAACCATCATAAATTTCCTGTAAGCCACCTTGAGTGAGTAGATGGCAATATATATATTTATATATATATATATAAATGAACATTTCATTTGGCAGTTGTCATGTTCCCTGTTCCATCTGAATTTTCAAAAGGTTATTTTAAATAAAAACAAAATGGAAGCTCGCAGACTCTAAAGTAAAGCACCCACTTGCTGCATACTCTTAATTATAAAAATACTTTTAGAATAATTTTATTCTAATTTTGATTTTAGAATAGAAACCATGTACTACTACTTTGCTATTTTATTTTTTTTTGTCTATTTACTCAACCCTCCTCCCCACAACACAATAATAAATTGAGGTGAACGTTTTGCTGAAGTACTGGTAATACTGGAAAGGTTTAGAGAGAACTTATATGGAACAACTTCACCAACCTTCCTTTTGATAAATGAGCACCATTTTGTAACGAGGTGAACACTGATATGGGCAATCATTTTATGAGAATGAATTTACTATTCTAAATATTTCAATTAAAAGGCAACCTAATATCCAGCACAAGTAACAGGAGCATTCATTCAGTTAAAGCACATAAGTGTTTATTATTATTACATATACGCAACAATTTAGGCAATTAATGATCAAAACTAAACTGGTCCTAGATAATGGTAATAGAATTCACAGAAGTCTGGATTTGGTCTCTTGGGCAACACAATGTCTCCAAACTGATGACTGATGACAAAAATCATCCGAAGTACTTTTTGATGCAGTGAAAAAGAAAATACAGTATATAAAATTTAGGGTGAATCATAATGAAACAATACTCAGATCAGTGTATCTGAGGTACATAAGTATCAATGAAACAGCGGTGAAATGCACTTACCTTTGCTACCGATTCAAGAATGTGAATGCATGCATACGCGCGCTTGCTACGCTCAAGCGTGCCTCTTCTGCACATACGCAGAGCCTTCTGCGCATGTGCAGAGAGTCAAAAACGGAACGTAATGGCATCCTGGAGCGTGGGCGGACTCTCCCGCCACCGGCGTTACCGATTCACACGAGCTGGATAGATCCAGCCGGATTTCACTGGCATAAAAAGTATTTCTGTAACCCATATCTAATGATAGAAATTTTAATGATATCTTCTTGGAGGTATTTGAAAATGGATTGAATAGAAGAAGAGTGTAACTTCAGGATCAAAAGCATAGTTAGTTTTTGACATTTGATAATATGAAATCTGTTCAACCACATTTGGCACTTTGAAGTATATGTTATTTGCTTTAAATTTTTGTACCAGAGCATGCAAAGATTTTTATATAGGGAAAGCTGATTTATCTATGTGTTGTCACTCCAATGATTTAGTGCATTCACTTATGCCAAGGAAAAAAGTCAAGGAGCAGCAATTGTTGTGTCTGTCTTATAATGTTATCATGTTTCACTTTAAATGCACTGTTTTCTGAACTATACACTCAGGCTTTCATTTATTAATTTTCTTGATGGCATGAAAGCCAGGTGGGTGGGAGAGATTGATTGGTTGGTGTTGTAGCGGGACGGTTATGGGATAGCAGAGCTCCGCAGAGTGCCACGAAACCCAGCCGATACATGGTTGCCAGGAGACCCTACACGGCCAAAGCCACCCTGGAGGGATGGTGAAGAAAGACGGGATGCTTTGTAGATCGCGAGGAAACACCAATTTCTTTGTTTGATCCAAAGAAAACCCTCTTGATTGGCAACAGATATGATGGCCATTTTGGTAAGACCAAAGCTGTGACAACTGGGACATAAAGAATATGTGTTGGAGAGGTTTGTGGGCAGAGGATTGAAACTGGGTGAGACAACTTTCAACTTCTATACTAGAGACTTAAACCCAAATAAAAGAATTCTTAAGAAAAGAAAGACTCCAAATCATTAAGAAAGCGGCGATTTAGCACATGGAGAAAGATTATAGACCTAAAAGTGAAACAAACTTTTAATGGAAGACTGTGAAGCTTTTTAATATAGAAAGACTGGACTGGAACTGGTATCAGCATGAAAAGTGATTCAATTTGTTTGATTACTGGAAGAATTTGTACAAAGAAAGAGGAACTTTGCTTTTTTATATTTTTTATCCTCCCCACCAATTTTTCTCTTTGACAGTTAGCTGTTTTATTTTTGCTTTGTTTAATGCTGGAACCTAGAGCGGGGGTGCCATCTACTAGTCAAAGAAGATATTATATTAGTATATGGTGGGAATAACCTTGGAAAGTAAGAATTATTTGATAACACAAGAATAACAAAGAGGAGAAGAAAGAAAATAGTGAAAGGCAAACAACACCTGGAAGGCTTTTTATTTTGGTTCCATATCTACTGGTGTCTTGGCTGCTTGGAAGTATTAGAGAGCCTTTTGAAGATTTCTAAGTCAAGGTGGATTACAATTAACAAGAAACTGAATATCTGACTTTGTGGATTAAATACATTTGGGAAAATTTGGTGGGACAATTTGGATTAAGATCATTTGACAGAACATTCTATGAGGCAAAAGAAGAAAAATTAAACAAGACTTTAAAAATTTGGAAAACTTAGAGGGTGCAAATTGGAAAATTTTAAGGATTATAAATTTAGGGGCTTTTGAGGAACAGTTCCAGGACTGTGTAATTTTTACTAATACTCGCATTGTTGGTGTTTCTGGGCACTTGGGATGTTGAAATTTTGGTGGAATATTGAGCAGTGATTAGTTTATCATCATAAAATGTTACAACAAGGAAAAACAAATTCAGTTTATAAAGAAATATTATTGATGTTTCAATGTATTAAGGAAGATATAACAAGGAATCAAGGGAGATGATGGAATTGATGCAGGATACAGGTGTGAGGCTAGAAAACCCCTCAACAAATGACAATAAAAAATGAGCAAAAAATTCTGAAAATAGGGGAGAAATCAGAAAGAGCTGAGGAAAGAACAGAGAAGATAAATCCAAAAATGATACAAGCTGATAAAGATATGGAAGAAATAGCAATAATTTCTAATACAGAACAGACAGAATATCCCTTAAAAGGGGTGTTGGTCTTACCTGATATGCTCCTTCTCTGTGTGCTGAGAGAGAATCCAAGGAATGGGTTAACTCTGCCTTTCTGCTCTTTAGACTGAGTGTCAATCTTTCGTAGCCATGCCTCCCTTGTCTCATTCCCAGTTTTGACAAAGGCATAATGATTGATTTGACATGTTTTCTGATCTGACTTGGCCATTCCTGGACTCTCTGGACCAAAATGGTCACTAGGGTGGGGTTGGATTCTCTCTCAGCACACCAAGAAGGAGCATATCATGTAAGACCAATACCCCTTTTCCAATGTGCTGAGGAGAATCCAAGGAATGGGACATACCAAAGCTGACTTGTCCTAAGGTTGGGCAGCAGTTTGGTCCGGAGTTCCCAAGCCTGTGTACACCTTCTGGAGAACTCCTCTGCTGAAGGCTGCTTCAGCCAAAGCGAAGGCATCCAGCTTGTAATGCCGTATAAACAGTGATAGGGAGGACCATGTCACTGTTCTGTATATCTCAATGGAGGCCTGTGTGGCCCACATCACCATAGTGGCCGTGCTTCTAGTTGAATGGGCTGTCACTTGTCGGGGTAACGGGAGAGCCTGAAGCTCGTATGATTTGGTGATGCATGCCTGTATCCACCGGCCTATAGTGGATGGTGTGACCTTATTGCCCAATGTGGAGGGTTGAAAGGATACAAAGAAGGACTCTGATTTATAAAAGGAGGCTGTCCTCTTAATATAGATGCAGAGACGCCTCTTGGCGTCCAAGGTGTGCCATTTTTTCTCTAGGGTGCGGATCGGGCCGGGCAGAAGTCTGGTAAAATTAGTTCCTGTGCCCTGTGAAATAAGGAATTAATCTTGGAAGGAACGAAG